GGCTCAAGCAGTTTTAGAAATCTGGGTGGAAAGTGGGTGGGTGGTTGGAGGGGGGGTAAAAACATTGTGCCTTTTAGTTGGGTCGGGGGTATGGATTTTTGCTGGAATAACCCATTAGGTCAGACTGTTCTTCAGGAAGAAATGATAAATCAAAATAATATCATATTATTGCAGATCGGCACTGTATGGTTATGTACCTTTCTAGTTGTCTTGTAATAGCTCTGGTGCAGTGCAACTACCATTAGCTGGAACTACCGCTATTCCCATTAGCAGTGTTCTTGGTGTTTCTGTGTTGTAAAGTTTTTCTGGCCATACTAAGGGCCCCATCCCGAGTCTCATTGCCACCAATAAAACCACCTGCATGGACAAAAATGCATCCCTGAATTCCACTGAGTAAACTGAGGGGTTCATCTCTTATTCCGCGCCATTCTTCCAACAAGCTCAGCCTATGGGACAGAAGCAGATGTTAGGCAAGTGTCAGGAGTTGTTTGTACAGCCATTTTCATGGTGATGACATTTTACTACACCTACCACAATTCATCAATTTTGTTTTTCCTTTCTTAATAAAACATGTCAATTCTGCCGAGGTTTAAAATAGACAATAGCTCTAACCAATTTTGCACAAGAAAACCACAAACTGAAGGATTCTGGTAGTTGTAGTAAAATGCCATTATCACACAATAAATTAAATGTCCTGTGTGATAATCACACTGACGTCACCTATTGATATTATGCCATCCAGAAGTGCATAGGTTTTTGAAACAAAAGATTCTTTTGTTTCACTCGTCATAAATTTGAATTACAAAGAATTAAACGATGTTTGTAAAAAGTGATATCTCCTATTGACACCAAAGCTATTTCATGTCTGAAAGCTGTCCAGTTTAACGTTGAGCTGCCACTGATTAGATCAGTGAGGCATAATACATGTAATTCTATACACCTAAAAAGTTTGACCTTTTTTCTGTAGCAACTGTTATGGACATAATTATCATAATGATTACCTGTTTTCAAAGGAATCAGGGCGGACAGGAACACACTACAGCAGGAAAAAAAAAAGATCTTAATATTAATTTTCTACTGTTATTAGTAACCTTATGATCAGCATTAGCCGCAGCAGTGTTTTTGGGTTGCCATTTTAGGGGATTTTGTGTACTTTTATTTTGTACTCCATTTGGTTCTGATGACTCACTGGATAATAAATTTATTTGGACAGCTGTGTAGTGCAAAGAGTCAACATGAAGATGAGACACTTACACTTTGGTGTTTACAAGAGGTCGCAACTATTATTATAGTGCATTGTCTTTAGAAATTTTGGAGTTTTGGATAGGAGGCTGGCAGTGTACAAGAGATGGTTGCACAAAGACCTTTGAATGCATTTTTTTGAAGTTTTGCAGCTCAAAGTAAATCTGCATGACAAAGCCCTTGAAAGCAACTGCACATGTATACATGTATTTTAGTTATGAGTTTAACGAGTTGTTCTCCAGTGTTATGGCCCCAAATGAATGACATATGTTTCAATTATGTTACCTATTTACCTGTACTCTCCATTTGTGATTTTGATCTGTATATATGACAAACTTAATCTCTCCCTCAATGTTTAAGTCCTTCTCTAATTCAAACAAATGTTCTTTCCAAGGGAATCCACCTTCTTCAAACTCTATAATCTCGCCACTTGGATCAACCTTATTGACAATTAAGAAAGTAGAACAAAACACAATCAGTTTATACTACAACAAACCTTCCAGTTCATTTTTTATATGGGGCTAATAGCTTACAATATTTTTTTTCTAAATTAAGTGCTAAGTACTGATGGTATTAGTCCCTCTTACTTTAGAAAGGTCACATGATCACTTAATTTTACTCTTACTCTTACTCCACTCAAAAAAGTAACGGATCATTATAAGTTTCTGGGAAACTGCCCACCTACACCTCCCCCAAGCCAATATTTTGCCCTAAGTGAGAAGTGTAAGTGTAAATGTTGGCTCAGGGGAGGGGTAGGTGGGCAGTTTCCCAGAAACGTATAATGATCCAAAGTAACTATGGAAAGGGGACTGTCCATTACCCCCTAATATGAGTGTTGTTGGTCTTGTGGGTAAAAAGAAAAATGTGAGGCAATAGTTTCTTGAATTTTGTAGCAGCATCACTTTTTCACCGGAGTGAATTAGAACAGCAAGATGTACCTCTTGTCGTTTACAAAGTGCTCCCTTCACCAGACCTCTTGCAGGTAGCCAGGAGTCACGGTAAAAACAAACTCTGTCTAAAAACTCCTCCCCAACTAAATTCATGGCCTTCTGAAACTGTTTCTGTTGATGGAAATTTTAAAAAATGCATTATTGAGCTTTAATGCAAGTGGGGGAGTTAGACAGTTAAATGAGTGAGTTACTTTCCCTTCTAGAAGAGTCATTTTATGACTTCCTATTAAGAGATATCGTCACATTTTGAAGGAAACAAGCAATTTAACGACCACTGAAGAAATGCATAGGTACTCAACATAAGATAATTAATTCTGTCATCTGTCTGTGTCTTTCCTTGTCCACATCTTGTGTATTTAAAAAAACCTCACCACATTCACATTTAATTGAGAGTTCCCCTTTCACTAAGTTAACACTTTACCTATCTATTGTTACAGTTGTACATACCTCAGAATCTGGATTTGGATCATTCCATCGTGGATTAAGATGAGACACTCTAGAACTCAAGTTTGTGTTGATGGAGTACCTGTTTTTAGAGGGTTTGATATTATAAAATCATGTAATTGTTAGTTCACCTGTGAATGATAATAAACAATCATTTATCAACATGATTTCTTACCCACTCCCATTCACAAAAACATAGTCTTTATAGGCTCTTGTGCAAATCTTGTTACAAAACAGGTAAAAAGGCACTGAATACAATAAATTGATCTCACATTGGGTTCAGTATCCCACACTTCAGCCAGGTTAGTTTAACAAAATTTAGGCAGGTGCAGGAGATGTTTTTGAAAGTGTATCATAGATCTCTGGGATCAAGCAATTTTTTTTCTTGTGTGGATGTTCGCCTGTAAAAAGTAGATGGTGTTACCTTGGCTCTCCATCGCATTGACTGATCCCATTGTCAATAGCATCAATTTCCTGAACAAAGTTTTCATAAATTTTGTCATATATTTTACAGGTCACATCATCCTCTTCTTTGGTCTTGAGAATTTGTGAGATGACTCTTTGTCCAAAGTGTAGATAAACAAGGCCTGCACTACTGAGTTTTGTGACCCAAGGTTTGTTTGGGTTCAGTGTCTTCATGCATCCTGTGAAGCTTCTATAATGAAAATTACGAAATTGTTACGGTAAAAATTCCCTCCTAACAGTCAACTAGGGATAACATTATGGCTCCAACTTTCAGGATCAATTTACCAGTATACATCACATTGATGTAATCTTTTTTCTTCCTAAGACATCTTATGATAAAAGTCTAGTAATTGATTAAAAATATGCCATTAATAAATTATTAATTTATCAACAGAAGTTTCATCACTGCTACAACTATCCAAGAAAAATTGAGTTTTCTGTACGTGGCTTAGGGTTTAGGGTCAGTGCCCAGCTGTCTGGGAATCAAAGGTTGGAATCCTGTCAGGCATGCAGTTTTTTTGTTCTTGTTGTTCCATCCACGATATGATATGATGATAGAATAATGCATCTTTTACATCTCTTTCTATTCCTTTGATATATCTCCTTCAGCACATGGAGTTATTTGACAATGTGTTTCAGCATTTGTCAAAATTAAATTTTAAATTTTGATTTTTAAGTTCAATTTATTGACACACTAACATATAGGACCTTAGCAAAATAAATATCAGTAGAGAGTTATTAACAAATGGGTTGCTTCTCACTACGAAAACAAGATTCTGTTTTGGTTTTCTCAAAGTGAAGATGACTGGAAAATTTGGCAAAGCACAAAGGCTTTCTCATTAAATTAACCTAGATAATATTTATTAAAGAGTTTTGACCAATTGCATACCGCTGATGGTGGTCATATCGATGTTTTTCAGCATCATAAACACCTCCAACATCAACAACAATGTCGCACTCAGCCAGCTCCTCAGGATTCCTAGTCCTTATAATATCAGCATGTTTGTATTCTGGTAACTGCTTTAACATAAAGCAAGCTAAGGCCTCATCACAGTGAAATGTTCCATTATGTGTTCCTATCTTTGGAGTAACAAGAGGCTTCTTTGGTTGAGGAGAGTGATCATCATTCCTAAGGTCTGACTCAGCCATAGCAGCAAACCAGCTGGAGCCTTGAAAGAACCCTGTAGAAAGAAACAATAACCATATATTAGTCTTTATGTTGATGAAAATATTAGAGCGTTGGAGGGTAAAGAATTAGCTGCCAACCATGGGTGTCACAATGCACCCACAGCAAGGAAAATCATAGGGCTGTATTGAGGCATGGCTGGAGACTGAGCCTAGAAAGGGGGAAGGGGAAGGAGATTAAAAAAACTTGAGTTATAGTGTTCCTTTTGGAAAAACAGCCATCAGGTTTTACCTTTTTTACCTTTTTATTTACGAAGCAAACCACAACAGCCTTTGCTGATTGGGCAATTCAAGTGGGCATGAAGAGTCAAAAAATTTTCCAGTCCCAAACAATTGGACAAGACTTTCTTCAAGAGTTGGAGGAAGGAAAAATTCTCAAATAAAAGGCATTAATATGGCATCCCATATTAATTCCATAAATAATATTAGCTAATATTGTATTCGTCAATTGCACATCTCCCAGAATACTCATTGCTTGCCCCGCCCCCCCAAAAACCCAATTTTTCAAAAGTATTGTCTTAAATTTCCCTTGGGGCAACTGTAATACCCAAGGGAAATTTAAAACAAAGTTATGCAAAAACTGTTTTGGGGGGTGGGGGTGGGGGTGGGAGGCTGCAAACAATATGTATTATGGGAGATGTACAAATGGCAGATTATTATTTACTTGAAAAAGTTCTTTACCTCCTTATCTCCTAGGACTGTTCCTCTGGAGTTTCTGGATGTTTTTTAGATTAAAATATAATCAAAAAGCAGTAATGACATGTATTGAGTAATGTACCAGTCAATTCCAACACTGCCCATCCCTCCCTCTCCCCGCCCATTTTACTGAAGTTTTGATCTGTACAGTTGGGAAGTAGACCCAAAATGAGGCCCTCCCGGTTGGGCATTTGACTTTTGCGTCAAAATGCTGGTCAGCATCACAAGCAAAAGGATTTCGTAATTCTCTCATTCAGCATGTGCACCTTATTCACGGGTCATTGCTCCTATATTCACTGTTTTGTTCAAGAATTTGAAAGCCTTTGAAAAAACCCATTAAATGTGGACTTTCTGAAAAGGACAATTTTATGAAATGGCCAAACCTCCATAAGACAGCTTTCTGAGACTAAAAATATTTCGGTGGTGTTTAGTAGTAAATTAATTTTGAATAAACGGTTTTGATGCATGGGAAAATTTTGAATAATGACTGGTGGGTGGGGGATTTGATGCTTTCTGAAGCGTTAATTAACTAGTGGGGCAAAAACTGCCAACATACGGGGGGATTTCACCAAGATTTTTTAAAACAGTCAAATGCCTGTGGTTTTGCTGGGGGTTCTGGAATTGACTGGTACATAATATCTTTGCCCATTCTTGCTATCACTTTGAGTCAGTATTCCTGTTTTACCTTTGCATAACCATTTTCTTAAGTTTTGCACTCACATGATCTGCCTGACACGACTGTCTTGCACGACAACGTAACAATGTCACCATTGTCACATAGACCAATGATAATGCACCTTGTTTACCCCCCTAAACTTTGCATAACCATTGATTCCAATTTCTCCTGGGTAAAACAGTCGTCCCAAGAGAAATTGAAGACAATAGTTATGCAAAATTTTGTGGGCTAAAAAAGGTGCATTATGGTCTATGTGAAAATGGTGAGCATTAACATCTGAGTCACTGATGTCTGTGACGGTATAAAAAAGCACTTTAGTTACAAAGAATCCACCGAGGGACTAAAGCCAATCAGAAACGGAGAAATATTTTGAAAGAAGAATAACATTAATTAAGCATTTACAACTGACGAAAAAGTTGCATATTATAATTATTTAAGTAGGAAGAACATGACTGCCGCACAGGTTGTGGAAACTTCAATCACTGTTGGTCAACAACAGTGCTATTCAGGACAATCACATTCCATCCTGTTCTTACGAAAGGACTCCTGCGTTGATCAAACCTTTCACTAAAAAAAATTGCAATTCTCTGGGCAACCTCCGCCGAATATTTTTGGGTATGCGCACAAGTCAAGGCCGCGGTAACTTCAGTAGAGTTCAAATTTGGGGCTATAATAATCATTTTAGGCGTCTTGAGATGATTATCTTACCTCTGAAGGGGAACTTGCTTGTCCTCCTTCCAGCTATTTGACTCAACACGTGCACGAAGAGAGCCGTAGTGTCGTTGGCGAAAGGAAAACAGGGATGCTCTCCGCACGCCTGGAATAAATTATAACCTTTCTCGGGTAGAGAGAGTGGAGTTTGCCGGGGAGGGGTACACAGGAACACCACCTACCAGATGTTTGAAAATAATGGACTTCAGAGAAATGTCATAAATAGGACGAACGAGGAACATGAAAAAGCAGAAACGAAAACGGCCCAAGCGTTGCCAAATGAAACATTCACCGAGACCGGGAAATATCAGAGCAAGGGCAAGAACAATTTGGCTTGTGGGTGGACCTCCCGGGCCCCTGTAGGCCGAGGGATTTTGGCAGATTGTCGCTATGGAGCCTAATCAGGACGAGAAAATGCGGAGAAAATTTCTTAAAAGGTGGAGTCTCAAGAACATGATATAAGCCGAAAGGTATTGTTTCAACGATCAGTTATGGAGCCAGGAGAGGCATATTATTATCTGATTGTCCGATATTGGCGCCTGAATATACAAACACAAACACACACAAGCGAATCTCACCAATCACTTTCAAAGAAATAGAAGCAGCGAATTTCAGAAAAAAAAGCCCAGAATATATTGAGAACAATAGAAAATAAAAGAATGTACATAACTAGTGAGTTTCAGCACGGATTGCTGATAAACATCCTAAAAATTCACATACAGGGATATGTAGTTTTTTTTTTTTTTTTAAAAATTGAGCTCA